TGCATTTGATGTTTAATGTAAATATACCAAAAGATGCAGCGCGTTCCGGGCTTTCTTCCGATATATAGTAGATTAATAAATAAAAGAAGTATAGCAATAAAAACACAAAAATATCAAGGAGGGAAAACCAATTGAGATGCACAGTAAATATTATAATAAAAATGTTTTCATTTTATTTTGTATCTGTAGTAAAATTTTTTTCTATGCAAATTCATTCGAAAATTATCTCTATAACTTTAGAAAAATGATAGATTGATATTATATTGAGAATTTTAAATAAAAAAACTTAAACACTAAGAAAATGTTCATAAATCTTCTTAAATAGTTGATAAAATTTAGTTTTGATTTCGATTGAAAATCATTAATTATTAATTTTGAAACAAATGATATTTCAAGTGGGCAATCATTGAAATTCCTATAACTCATATTACTTTAAAAGTGTTAAACATTTTTCAAAAAATTATTTTTTACATGAGAAATTTTGTTTTGTTTTTCGAAGTTCGATACTTAGAACACGAATAGATTTTAATCGTTTGTAGTAATATGTCAAAAGAGAAGTGATATGAATATTTAATAAAACCAAATTTCCTTCTACAAGTTTCTTGTAGTTCGAATTGAGATAATTTTGATCAAAATACAAAACTGAACGTTATGAAAAATTTTATATAAACTTTATTTGATCTTGTTTCAAGATTTTCTCTCAATAAACTAACATTACATCATACAAAATATTTAATTACAAAAACAATAAAAATTTTGATTTTCTCTCGTGACTTAGAAATTAGATGAAAATGATTCAAACACATCTTATGTAAAGACTTTTGTAACAGAGATTATTTTCTACTCAAACTGATATTAAAATAATGTAATATTCATTTTTTTATTAAATAATATTACGCATAGAAACATGAGGTAATAATTCTTATTACAATTACGTCAAGGATCAATCAGTACGTAACATAGACTTTTATTTGCCTTTTTTCTTTTTAATAATTAATATATGTTTTTTTTTGTACTGTATCATCACATGTGATCAAGTATGAATAATATATATTTGTTGTTGTTTTTTCTTTTCTACTCAATAATAGTCATTAGAAAATGTCCTTCGAAGGTAAAATCATAGAGTAATGAGTGTATATATTCCTCGTAAGTATAGTAGAAAAAATTGAGAAGGTTCTAAAGTAATTTTTGTTTTTCTGATACAACCTTCTTATATAACTCATTTTTTATGACGTTAAAAAAATAAAAATCTATTTATGGAGTTCGACGATTGTATATATATATACCAGAGGTAATAATCAATATATATATTATTTTCTATATTTTATTCAATCTTCATATTATTCTTTTATTAAACGATGGAAAAAATTAGTGATGCTTGCAAAGCTGGTGCTGAAAAAGTAAAAGAAATGGTTTCTGGTTCAAGTAAAGAAGCTAACAAAGAAATTGCTAAAGATTCAAATCAAAGTATAGGTACTCGAGCAGAAGCTGCTGTTGATGCTGCAAGTGAGTATTGTGTTCTTTTTTCTTTTTTTTTAATAAATAATAATTATTAATTTATACTTTAATTTAGGCGATAAATTACATGAAACAAAACATGCAGCTCAAAAAGAATCATACAAACAACAGGCAATACATTAAATCTGTACAAAATTAAATAAACTGATTAATGAAAATATTCTACTATCGATTATTTTATTTGATTGTAAATTAATTTATTATACTAGCAATAATAAAATAAATTGAGAAAAAAAAAAACAATATGTTTTTATTATTGAGAAACAAATAATGTAGAATTTGCAAATCTATTAGTAAATTGTTAATTTGAAATGAATTAAATGAGAAGTTTGATAATTGTACAGTTAAATTTAGAAAGAAAAAGAAAAAGAAAAAGAAAAACATAAATCAGAATAATAAAAGCGTTTGGCATTTTAAAAAAAAGAATAGAATTTTGTAATTTTCTATATTGTTTTATAATTCTTATCAGTTGATCGTTGACTAAAATTTCGTTTCATTTCAATATCAAGTATATGATGTATTAATGAATTATCCGTAAAAATATTATTCATATTTATAGTTGTTATTACTTTTGGTAAAACAAGAATTTTAGTAATTGAACGACCTTCAAGTAATTTTAAACCTTGTTTACTTAAAGAACGTTTTATAAATATTGGTGCTTCATAAACATATTTACTAATTTGATTACGAACAGAACCAGCAATAAGTAGAAGATCTTCATTTATATGAATAATATCATCCGAAGTACATGTCATTTCATTATAAATAAGTAAACCTGAATTTAATAATCGTTTATCAATTAAAGTAAAATCAACTATTGAACGATTATTATTTGATTTTATTGATGAATATTGAAATGCTTGAATATCAGGCAAAATACGTAATGCCAATTGTATACCTTTAAATTTAATGATAAAATTTATAATAATTTAAAAAAATTGTAATTCTTCGGAAAAAAATTTTTTTTAGCACAATCTTTGTTATATGAGTTTTACTGAAATGAAATAATGTTAAAATGTACAATTAAAATAGTAACCGATTTGACTCTACAAAATTCATCAGTGAGTATTTTCACTTGTGAAAGTTTATGTTAATAAATAATAGTCTAGAGCAGAGATGGACAAAGTCGCACCGCGCCTCCCCGCGCCGTTGCTCACGCCTACGCTACACTAGTCTGAGCTTCGATGAGCGCATGCTTAGAGCATCCCGGTATTCGGTGGAGTTTGAGAAACTGATTGGTAGAGCAAAGAGAAAGAGAGATGTGCGTAGTGCCTAGGCGCGAGCAGTGGCGCGGGGAGGCGCGGTGCGATTTTGTCCATCTCTGGTCTAGAGTATTTGTAATCACTATAAGAATACACTTTTTATAATGTTGTAATAAATAATACCATGCTCGGGAAAGGAAAAATATTGCTAAGAGACGTCTTTCACTTCAACGATATTATTTTTCAAATATAAAAATTTTAAAAATAATACCTATTTCAAGCCAAAGTGCATTCCATAATGAATATGTATTTAAAATTTCAAATAATTTTTCTTTTGAAATAAAAAAAACAGTAACATTAGTTAAACATTTTGCAGTTGATTCATATTTTTCTCCATTACTAATAAGAAAATCATAGAGACCAATACAATCACCTGAACTATAAGAATAACGACGATGAATTCGTTCAGAAGTAGCTGGATGCATTTGACGATATTTATCAAATGTTTCATTGAAAAGTTCATCAAAATTTTCTTCAGATTTTGTATGATAATAATATTGATGAATATCATCATCAACTGTTATAGAATGATCATTAAATTTATCATTTATTGGAGTTGTTATTAAATGATGCCATCTCATATAGAAACCATCTTCAAATGCAACACGAACACCTGTTGTTGATTTTAAATAATCATAATGAGATGTTTTATTGTACAACATATTATCCATATTTATAAATTTTGTATCTTTTTCAAATGTACTAAATATAAATGAAGTTATACATATAACAAAACAAAGGCGAAGTAATCGTTAATTTACTTAATAGATTGATCTTTCAAAAGAGAATCAGTTTCTCTAGAAGTTGTAGATTCTATTTGAGATAATGCATCAGAAAAAATTTCATTAATATTTGATTGTTCTACAAAATGATAAAAACAAAATCATAGAATTTATCGTAAGTACAACATCATTATTGAATGATTTATTATTTCAAAAAGTTAAACTTGAAATTATCTAAGGAGATTCATCGTTTGGAATTATTCTCCAGTTGAATATTGAATTCGGTTTGTCATTGATAAACTACAATAAGACAATGATGTTTCGATTGACACAGATGAAATAAACGATTATCAAAGCAGTGATAAATCATTTTATACAGAAGAGCAACTTTTTTTTTTTTGAAAAACAGTATCTTATTACGTAATTGAGGATCTGGTACGGACTCAGAGATTTGTCATAAAATTTTTTTGTCGAAATGACATCAAACTAATCTAATTTTGAATATGAGGTTTACTTAGGCTAATTCAGAATTAATATATGCAAATAAAAATATTTGTATTTTTTTTGAGTGCATTCCTTGCAAATCCAATATCTTCTAGAGGAAAACATCGGAAAGTTTTCATTATGTAATAAAACTTGTGCTCTATCTATTTTGAAAGGTTTTTCATGAACTTTTTTCCAATACTCTCAGAAAGAGAGTAGGATTTCCTTCAGACATATATTTTATTATTACCAATATTTTCATTTACTAATGAATATTGCAAATCTTTTTGATTTTTTGATATAGATTGTTGATATTCTGATGAATAATGAACATGTTTTAAATGATTTGGACTTAATATTTGTTGTGTTGTTGTTGTTATTGTTTGTCTTGTACGATTAATTTCTTTTGAACGTATTTCATAATGATATGCATCAATATCATATGGATCAAGTTTCCATTCTTCAATAATACCATTAACTAATAAATAAATACCATGAATTTTATCATTTTTATGCCATAAAAAATCTTGCCAAGAAACAGTTTGTGGATGTAATAATGATTCATTTTCAAAACGTTTTATATTTTCATTAGGTAAAGCTTGAAGAATTTTTTCTTCAATTTCATATTTTTGTTGAATAGTTAATTGTTCATTTGAAAAAAGCCATGCTAAATTATGTATAGCAATTATTGGTGATGCAGGTGGCATAGTTGATGGAATATGAAGATAAACATGCATATTTTTTAATAATTGTTCCAATAGATTACAATCATCATTATCAAGTACACCTCGAGAACGTATTTGTGTTATACCTTGTTTAGCTGTATTATATAAAAGATTGAGAGTATGATGTGTTTTTATACTAATAACAGTACCCGGATGATCTTCTTGCATTATAAGTACATCATTTAAAACATTTTTTATATGTTGAAGTGAAAGTTCACGTAAACGAATACGAATAATTTCTAAAAAGAATTAAATATTCATTCAAATTGTCAATTGAAGATCAACAAAAGAATGTAAAACTCAAATGTTTATAAGCTATATAAATATTCTCCTTAGAATTCGAATTCGCTTTTTTTTTATAAAGAATTTCTCTTCTGAAACTTTTTCCTTTTGATACAAAAGATGCCGATCGATCGTTTGGTATAATGTGCACTATACTTAAAGTTGTTCTATGACCAGCACTCTACTGTCAGTATGTCGACGATAGTGCGAGTGAACGTGTAACATGAGCTCATTTTAATAGTGAAGCTCACGACTCTCCATCTTGGCTCTATCAATCGTTATTCAAAATGAGTAATGAGCGGTACTAATCGTTTGTGGTTCTGGTTTTGCGCTTAACAATATATGTACTAGCGAAAAATGCGATTTCGCTTTCTAATAGTGTTAATGTGCTGCAGATATTGTGCATACCCTCTAAGTTTCTCTCTCTTAAAAATTCATCACTTTTTTTTCTTCATGCACTAATACTTCGTCTATTCTGCACACTTGTGTGTTCGAAAATCCTGTTGTTTATGAAACAAACAGATTGATCGTACTATTAAAAGTGTAATAGCCGATATTGAAGTGGCCATTACTGAATAATTTTCGTTTAAACTTTTAGAACACATGAGTTATGAAAAAATGACCTTTGGCGGAAGTTTTACATGACCATCTTGCCCATATCTGTTCAAAATACTTAAGAGTATTATTATCAAATAGCATATTTAACAGCTGTTATTGAAGTTTTATTACAGTAAAATCTGTCTCAGAGAATACCACTTGATTTTAAATGTGAACACATTATTTTTGTTTCACCTGTATTAGGGATGTACCGAGTCTCTCGGTCTCGGTCGAAAAACTGCAAAAAATAATAATTTCGACCGAGAGTGAATACAATGCTTACCTAGGATAAAGAACGAATAAGAAATTAATTGTACTCGAGACCAATATTCATTAACACCGAGACCGAGAAGCTCGTTCTCGGTACATCCCTAACCTGTATGCATGAAGAAAATAATTAGTTCTAAGATATAATTTATAGGAAGCAAGAAAAAATGAACAAACAGTTATCATTATCGTTTTGAACACATTCTCAACTTTTGTCTCAAATATGGTTTCTTACTATGCTCTTGATTTACATCAACAAAACTAAATTTAATCATAGATAAGATAAACTTATCGACACTCAAGGAATGCTTTATAAAATATTCTTAAAAGAAATAATCAATGATAGTATTTAAGATCGAATTCAGCAGACATAATATAAAAGTATTACTGTATAATGACATTGAAGTGTTGTTTTCGCTACTATTTTTAATATATTCTAAATATTTTTACCATTATCAGTTAATCGATGTATTATTCTAAGTGCTTGTTCTTCTGAAGAAATATATGCTAAACCAATATCATAACTAATACTAACATATCGATTAAGCATATAATCAACAAATAATTGAATAGGTTCAATAAGAAATAAACATAAAATAATACATTCAATTAAACTTAAACTTTTTAAAATATAAAAAATAATACATAAATTTTTTGTTGATCCAATTATAAATAATATAAAATAAATAATACAACTTAAAAAACGACATATAATAGCAAATAAATATAGAATAATCCAAATAAATATTAATATATGAAATATTCGTTGTTTATTTTGTTTGAACCAATAATATAATTGAATATAATCATATAAAAGTAATAGACAAGATATTATTTCTAATATTAAATGTAATTTAATTAAATTTTTATTTAATAATCTATTACAAAGATTTGTATGAAATTGATAAATAATAATTGTACATTCAATAAACATAATAAGAAATGATATTAGTAAATAATGAAATAATTTTCTAAATAATATTTTACACCAATATTGAATTTTTCCTATAGATATTTGTAATTGATTATTGTTATTATTAATATTAATTTTATGTTGATGTTGATGTTGTTGATTTTTTGAATAATACCAAGGCAAATATTTTTGCCATTTTCGTGTAATATTACGTATAATATTTAATAAAGATCGTAAACGACTTTTACCAATTATATGAGCTTTAATAGTTTTTAAATCAATTAATTTTTTATGTGTATCCATAGCTCTATCACATAGAGAATTTAATGTATGAAGACCATAGGATGATAATTGACCATTGTAATAATTCAACCAAAAATGTGTCTTTTGCAATCTAAAAATAAGTCAATCAAATTTATCGAACATCTTTTATGTCATATGTTTCACAATCGGAAAATGAAGAATACTGCGAAATTGATGAATCACCACAGGATTCATAATCTTGAAGTATAAATTTCTTTTTCATTCAAGATTCTCTACTCATATCTTAATGTTTTTTATTTAAACATAGGCTCAATCTAAAGTTCTGAAGTTTTCATAATTAGTTATGAATAAAAATATGAAACATCATGTAATTGCTATTGCTAATCATAGAGAGTTTGAGTTCTATCAATGTTGGAATACATCTCTTCACTATCATTTCTATGTAATTTTTAACAAATACAACAAAGAAGTAGTTCATATATGGTAATAAGACGTTATTAACATATGATTTTTGATCGTATATCGAAAACGTTGAACACGAGATATAAACTAACCCCCTCCCCAGAATAAAAGGGCATGCCCTTATACAGTGTCTTGGCACATCGCTACTTTTTGGATGGCCTTCAATTGAGGGTCAATTTTTGGCCAGTTTTTAATTAAAATAATTTAAAAAATTAATAATTAATTAATATCTTTAATTATTGTTTTTTGCTGAAAAAACTACCATTTTTTGTAAAAACTGTACTATTTATGATAGGAAAGGAAGAATTTCGCAAAAAAAAACATTAGAAAATCGGTTATATTTCCTTAATTATTAATTAATATTTATGAAAATTTCATTAATTTTGGAATATATTAATTAATTAGTACATGGCCTTCTAATAGGACGTTTGAACTTTTGCTCGGACATGGCCTTCTAATATAGGATGGCCGTCTATTTTGTGGGGTAGATAATCGTATAACTAACCTTAAAATTCGTACTCGACAATCTTCAAATGTTTGTTTAAATTCAAATTTTGATATAGGTATTGTAACATAAGCTTGACAATAATCACATTTTATTTGATCAATATGACGTCTTGAAAATAAATTATCTTTAATTGATTCTTCTTGTTTTTCATTAAATGGTGATTGTATATCAATAGCTTTTTGTACAAAAAGCCAATCAGCTGTAGCTAATATAGGATTTTTTTTTAAATATTGAATCATTTCATTTTGTTTAATTTTTAATTCTTTTATTATTTGTATCATTGTTTGTTTTATTAATTCAGATGTTTGATCTAATCGTAATATATGAACAATATTTGGTATTGTTAAAGCATTTACTAAAACAATGAAAGAAGAAAAAAAAAACCAATAAGTATTTCAATGTATAATAGAATTAAGACAATCGCTCTACTTTTCCGAACTATCTCGAAATGAGTCTGATGAATCTTTCAATGCAGATAGATTTTGACTTAAAATTCTTGCTTCATTTGTTTATAATAACTAGGATAAATATTAGAGATGCATATTCTTTCAAAAATATCATTCCTAGAGTTTAAAGAAACTCTCAAAAAAATCTGTTTTTTTTTCTCAACGATACTAATTTTATAAAAGCTGCCAAATGGCATATCATGACTTTTATTGTAAATTTGATATCTCAAGAAGAGCCTATTCTTTCTGACTAACAATTTGAGAAGATTGTATGAGAGCTGTTCATAGACAAAATTTTTCAATCGAAGTTAATTTATGAATACTATTCCAACGATAAAATAATCTAGTGCAACGATCCTAACTCCGAGATATCAACTCGGATGGCTCTCTCATGAGTAGATAGCAGAGATGTCCATCGCGGCGCTGCCGCAATGGCGATGGCGGCGCGGCAGCGACAGATTTTTTAAAAAATCACCGCGGCAGCGGCGCGGTAGCGGCAGATTTTTTTTAAAGTCATCGCGGCAGCGGCAGGGTTTTTTAAAAAACCATCGCGGCAACGGCAGGATTTTTTTTGGAGGATATTGAAACACTGTATGAATTTAATAGAATTTCAGGATTTACAAATGAAACGCCCTGATATTGAATAAATCTGATGGACTAGTACCCATATCTCTGGTCAAATATAGTCACAGCAGTGAAATTAGAAACACTTTTTTGAAAGCCGTCGCGGCAGCGGCGCGGTGGCGGCACGTTTATTTTATAATTCATCGCGGCAGCGTTTCTTTTATAAGTCATCGCGGTGCGGCAGCGTCGCGGCAACATTTTTTTATAAACCGTCGCGGCGCGTCAGCTTTTTTTTTCGAAGGCCGCGGCACGGCAGCGGCAGATTTTCAGCCGCGATGGACATCTCTGGTAGATAGATACCATTTCAGAATATATAACGATTGTAAAAAGAAATTTTGAATCAAGAAAGAGGTGTGAATACTCTTAAATCTTCTTTACCTGTACATGTTAGAAAAACAATAGCTGTTGTATGAATAAGCATTATTTCTGCTTGATATTGATCTTTAATTGTACTATTAAAAAGTGTTAATGCAAGAACAAGACTTACACCACCACGTAAACCAGACCATATTGTTACAATAGAATCTTTCCATGTAAAACCATATGCAATATGTTTTAATATAAAATGTATACCAAGTATCATTATAGCACGAACAAGTATTAATATAATATAAATTAATAATAATTGTGGAATTGAACTTAATAATGATAACATTTTATGATTTTCACTATATGTTTTAAGTAAAATAACACCAACAGTTATAAATATAAGTGAATTAGATATATATGCAAGTAATTCCCATGTTTGTTTTGATATATGAATAGCTGAAACACTAAAACATGAACGATTCATATTTAATGTTAAACCAAGTAATACAACACCAATAACACCTGATGCTTCAATAGTTTCACATGTTAAATAAACAAAATAAGACATTGTAATTGTTATACATGTTTCAAATTCACCAGCTTCCATACGATATAAAGTAAATATTGTTATATGTGCCATTACATAACCTAAATTGAATTAAAAAAAAAAAAGAAATTTATTTAATTATATTCTTACCAATGATAATAGCTGTTGCAATAGTTTTTAATATAAATTTAAGAAGATAAATAGCAGTTATTTTACGTTTGATAAGAAATCTTACAGCATTCGAACATTGTTCAGCATTAATACCTAAAAGAGTTGCTCGTGTTTGTTGTAAAAGATTTTTATCAGATTTAAATGTTTCATAAATTAAATTTTTTACTAATGTATATATAGTTATAGCAGCTGCATCATTAAGTAACTAGAATTTAATTATTAATTTTTTTAGTTATAAAAATTCAAAAAAAAAATATATATATATATCAAATTAACTTACTGATTCACCTTCAATTATAGTTGATAATGTTTTTAATGATGTCATGGATTTAAGTAAACTAACAACAGAAACAGGATCAGTAGCTGAAACAACTGCTGAATATAAAACAGCTTGATCCCATGTCCAACATGTTTGTACATTAGTTGTATATTCATTTTCATACCAATACATAACAGCTAATGTAGTAAGTGCCACAGAAATAAAGAAACCTGTTGTCAATTGAGAAACAAAAAAATTCAAAATTAAATACAATTCTTGTCCTTAGTTATAAAAAAACGATTACAATCAATTTTATTGAGTATACAAAGACATCACTAGATGAATACCGAAGATAATTAATACAAAGAGAAGAATTTTTTAAAAACTAGTCGCATATGTAGATTGATAATATAGTGGTCAATATAATTTCTTTCGAAAATTAGTTTTCTGTTGAAAGAATCTAACGAGAAAACCACCCGACGTGTCAAAAAGCTTTGGAGCTGAAATTTTGCCCACAAGTAGGGGATGCATAGACTAGAAAAAGTCTAAAAGGATATGGGTCCAAGTTGGGATTTGACTGAGATATCGACTATTTACCATAATTTTCCTATAGTACCCTACTTGTCCGATAAAATCAAAGTTTTGAATTTAGGCCTGAAACTTTGTCCACACCAAGGTCCCAATCAGACAAGCTTGCCTACAAAGTTTCAGAACTCTTGGATAGACTATCTCCGAGATATGAATCTGCCAAAATATCTATGTGAAACATTATATCCATAAAAAAGCGTCTTTATGCTAACATACTAGTATCTCGGAGATAATCAATCCAAGAGTTCTGAAACTTTGTAGGCAAGCTTGTCTGATTAGGGCCTTGGTGTGGACAAAGTTTCAGACCTAAATTCAAAACTTTGATTTTATCGGACAAGTAGGGTCCTATAGGAAAATTATGGTAAATAGTCGATATCTCAGTCAAATCCCAACTTGGGCCAATATCCTTTTAGACTTTTTCTAGTCTATGCATCCCCTACTTGTGGGTAAAATTTCAGCTCAAAAGCTTTTTGACACCTCGGGTGGTTCTCTCGTAAGACCAAACGTAACTATGAGCAGGAATTCACTAGAAG